GCTCATTAATATTGGTTTTGGATGCGTCTGCCTCTGCACCCTATGTCCCTCTATCACCGTGAATGAGTTTTATAATACTATTGACCTACAGCACAGCCTCTGTCTGTGTAATGTCAGATCCATTACTGGGTGTGACATACAGTATAAAAGAAAAGACATGCTACATCAGTCCTTCACCCCACAGTACAGCCTCTTCAAACCTAAACTCACCCCAGTCCACTTAGGCATGTCCCCCGCCAAGCCCTCAGGCATGCCATCACACACTCAGAAATCCAACAGGCCTTACAGTCCCAAGCCAATAAAACCTACACTATTATCCAAACTAATAACCACAAAGTTACCCAGGTACTCACCAAAATCAAACAAATCACCCACTACAGCCCTTGGGAGACCTTCCTGGGCTGGTCCCCAACTTCCACTGGTATCCTGAACCTCATGATACACCCCATTGTAGTGCTGTTTATCCTAATGATAATTGTAATGTTCCTAATTATATTCCTGTATTGCAGACTTGTTTCCACCCTACACACAGTACATGCTAGAATAGATGAGGCTAAAATACTAGCCCAAGTACTTTAGTAACATCACCCTGATGGCTGATGTCAAGAGGGGGAATAATGTAGCAGAAAGCCCCCTTTTCCTCTTGCCTGCATTTGCTTTCCCCTCTTTGGATGTGTTTCTCCTCTTCTACCTTTTTCCTTTTCTTCCTTCCTCTTTCTCTCACTATAAGATAAGGAATTGTGTTTTAAAGTTTGTATGTGTGCATTTTGTATCTCCCCTTGTATTTTGGTATTTTTATTTATTTGTGTGCCATGGCATTACTTTTGTAGCTTATATTTTATACTCCTCACCTTCTAACTAAATGTGTTTAGTTTCAGAAGTAAGTTATACACTGTAACAATGTTAACAAGGGCAGGAATCAAACTGCCACTTCCCTGCATCAGGCAGGCCCCTGAAAGAGTGAGTGAATCAGTGATTGAATGCGTACACAGTAGCAGGCTTCAGTAACAAGCGGCAATTAACACCTACGGAAACCACAGATCAACCAACGGAAGAAATCAATAGGAGACAATGTAGCAACCAGGAATTCTCTAAACTTCACTGTTCAAGGGCTAGAAGCCCCAGTCTGAGTTAATCAATGCTGGGGACCAATTTTTGGGGCGGAATATCTCCAGATCGACTGCTCTCAGAGCCCTATTCATGACAGCGGTAAATTAATCAAAATTCATCAACGGACTCCCAAACCTGCACGTACATGTGGACAACCCCTGCAGCTGACAGATGCCATCCACCAGCCACCGAGGGGAAGTCCCACAAGGGTCAACGACCCCTGGATTGGGCAAACCTGAAAACTGGAGAGTCACCAAAGTCTGCCAAGGACAGATAAAAAGCAGTGAAAAGTAACCCTCAGGGCCGCCCTCTTGATCTCCAACTTGACCAGCACCTGACCCGTCCAGCCAGAACGACCAGCCAGAGACCCCCTTCTGGAAGATAACACCATGCTGGAAGAAGCCTCGACTGGCCATCGACGGCAGACTCCAGCACTTGTGGGATAGGTATACCCGACTCTGGTGCCCCCCCTCCCCACCACACAAACATTTGTAGCTCGCTACTGTGTGTGTGCATGTGTGTATGTGTGAGGGGACCAACCCCAAGGTTTATGATTTGACTTCATTACAGTGTTTCAATCTGCCTAATAAACCAGAATTTTAAGGATCCTGAGTTGGACATTTGTAGCCAACAAGGACAGCAAAAGCAGTGGCAGGCAGGGGAGGAAAGGGGATGTGCCTCTGAGCATGGAGGGGAATGGATGGAGGAGAATTCTCAACTTCTTTGGGGACTTAGAGTCTCCAGCTTCTGCTCTCGCTATGTAGTGAGAAAGGGAAGCGGGGGTGCAGCAACACCACTGCACCTCCTCTGGATCTGCTCCATACCCTACCCTAAGCAAGGGGTGGGACTATATCAGTAGTTTTAAACTCTTTTTTGTTTGTGAACCCCTAAACATTTTTGAATGGAGGTGCAGCCCCCTTTGAATTGTAAGTGTGGGTATTCACATACTTTTAATTTATCATAGTCATCTTTTGCAGACCCCTCAGACTGTCTGCAGACCCCTAGGGGTCCATGAGCCACAGGTTGAAAACTACTGGTCTAGGTGATTTCCAGAGGTCCCTTACAGCTCTACTTTTCTATGATTCTATAATTCTAACATTAAGTGCAGACAAGCAGATGGGACATTCAAATACACTTACTGTATTTACTTGAAAAAACAATGACTCTGAATATAAGACAACCCCCCCAATAATTAGATTCTACACACAGACAATTTTAGAATTCATTATAATTTTCCTTCTATGGAATCTAATTATTGGAGGGTCATCTTAACTTGCCTCCCAGCCCCTCCCAACTACAGCAGGTGATGCTTATATTAGGAAAAAAGCTTTAATGAATCACAGAAACTATTATGACAATACATGTTTGAAAGCAGTACATTCTGCATTTTTGTCTCACTAAACTCTGGAAAAAAATCTACAAAGTTGGTACATAATGCTTCTGTTTTCTCAGATAAGCCTTTAAGATAATAAACTCTACCTCTCTCCAATAAGAGAGACACGGGAATTTATCCTTGGCTACAATCTTTTACTCAGTGCAATAACAATGTTTTATTACAATCTTAAGCTATCAATCCTTGAATGTGTTTGGAATTGATATGTGACGGGAAAGTGTTCTCTTGGTAAGATTATTTTACTATAGAGATTTTTTTTAAGGGATATGCATTTCCAGTATGATAAAAGAAAAAATGTATTTTCATAACATTAATGTTGATAATGACAAAAACATTCAAACTTTGATAATTAAAGTTCATTCCCCTCTACAAACTGGTTAATTGGGCAATTATCTTGAGATCATCTACATGTGCAAAGTACTTATCAAAGTCAGACCTCGAAAATGTGTACTAACTCTATAGCTGGCTGCTATCAAGCTTTAATTTGCATATGTAGCAAGTTCTCCCCTATATACACCTGTATGCCCCATCAGCTGTGTTCTCCCCTCACAGGCGTGCACCTTGCCCAGCCATGGCTGTGAGTCCTGCAACTGCTGGGGACTCTAAACCCCAGCAGCTGCAAACTCTGGGTCCTGGCAGCAGCCTGCAGTTGCCAGCACTCAGAATCGCACAGCTATGGATGCTAGGTCCCTGCAATGCACCTCCCATGTGTGTGAACACCCCAGGGAGATCTATCAGTGGCAGAGGGTATGTGGAGTGCCCCCGTGGCTGGGATCCCCTCTACTGAGGGGGCCCGAACTGCAAGAGCTTGCTTCTTGCTGGTACAGGGGGAGCCACTAGCAACAAGGTGCAATGGGATCTAATGCGCAATCCCACAATTACACCTTCTATCATGCAGGGGCCATTTCATTTAGAAAGGAGACACACAGCCGTAAAAAAATAATAAACAGAAAAGAGAAAGGTAAATTAGGAAATCCTATTTCTCTTCTTTAGTACAAGTCGCAAGAATGTGCAGTGAAATTTAAAGAAATTTTAAAACTAATAACATGATAAAAATACATTTTGTTCCTTGCACAACGAGTAGTACCTGTGGAATTCAGTCCTAAAAATACTTATGGGAGGAAATGTTCAGTCTAAGTCACCTAGATAATAAAATTAAATAGATAATAAGGTAATTAATCATCATTTTAAAAACTGCATAAAGCATGTCAATGCTCATGCTTTTAGGCACATGTTAATAAAATAGGGCCTAAAAAGAAATTTCCCAAATAGACAGGTTATTTCATAAATAGAGAGGGTTTGTTTTTTGGGGTTTTTTTACACTTTCTGAGCCTTAATATTACCCTGGAGAGACCACCAACCTCAATTTTTATAAAAATTCAAGGGTTCTTCGAAAGCTGTGGTCCCCACCAAGGCATCATGTTTAACAGATTAACTATCTGCTTAACACAAAAGAAAACAAAAAGTGAGGCAAAAGTCTCACAAAAAAATTAAAAATCAGCCTGAAATCCCCCAATGTTTTCTAAAACATAGGGGAACCTGAGCCAATTTTTGTGTTTGTGAACAAACAAGCTGGACTATTTTCACAACTATACTATCTCAATGGCTACAAGAAAAAGTTGTTTTAGAGAGCAAATTCATATAACTGGCCATTTGAACTAGAGATGGATTTTAGACAAAACTTAAAACAAGCTATTCATATATTAAATTTTGGTCCTCAGCTTCAGCTTAGTAAAATATAATAATGGACAGGACACAA